TTTTTTTTTTTTTTTTTGTAGGTAGTTCATCTGACATCTTCTAAGGCCTCTGCACAAGTACTGTGAAATTAGAATATAACCACTACGAGAACGTCTTGTCTTTTTTGGTCTCTCTTTTAACTATAACTAGACTTCAAAGCTTGAAACCGATTCTGTTTGAAGTTGCTTTCTTTTTCAGGCGCACTAATGGTTTTGGACCACCTGTCTTGTAGGCTATAAAACACGGAGTTGAAAAACCAGAGAACAAGGGCTTAAATTTGAGATGAGTAAAGTGTCTGTCAGTGTTTTTAATTAATTTAATTTAATTGTAGAATTGAGCAATTCCAGTCACATGATTAAGGGAATTATTAATATCATTACAATGAATTAACTGATTGTGTTAACACATGTCTGATAGTTGTGTCTGTGTATATAAATGTTGGGTCCACTCCAAACTCTTGGAGAGCAAACAGTTGGGTCACTTCCATTCATTAGCCAAAAGTAGCAGTCTAGTTAATTTAAATTATAGCCTATATAACAATCTGGAAAAATTATGGACTGCCATTCAAAAGTTTGGGTTGGTAGTTTTTATTTACTTGTTTTATTATAATTTTTGGTATGTCTATTATGCTCTCACGTGGCTGCATGTATAAATACAGTAAAACAGTAATATTGTGAAATATTATTACAATTTAAAATTCATATAATATATTTAAAAATAAAATTCCCATTAGTCCAGTCTTCAGTGTCACATGATCCTTCAGAAATCATTCTGATATGCTAATTTGGAAATATTTCTTATTATCAATGTTGAAAACAATTGTGCTGTTTAACATTTTTGTGGAAACCATGATACATTTTTGTTTTCAATATTCTTTGATGAATAAAGTTCTAAAGAACACAATTTATTTGAAATGGAAATATTTTATAACATTATAAATGTCTGTACTGTTACTATTTTATCAATTTAATGCAATCTTGCTAACATTTATTTTAAAAAGGGTTAATGGTAGTGTATGTTTTAGTAGTCTGCAAAGAGTAGTGGTCTGCATTTTTTGTTTTGCTTTCAAAGTAGAATAATTATTCACTTAATGTGAATCTGCAGTAAGCTTACCTATAACAATACTGCAATACCAATAATGCAATAAAACAATATTACTCACAATTTTGTAATGGCCTCAGTTAGAAATGTGCATGCATCACTCTGCAAACTAGTTATTGTTCACAGACCTCAATGACTTTTTGAATTATTATTTTTTTTAAATGCATAATCACTAGAAAGTGTAGTATATGCTATTCAGAAGTGTTAATACTTAATAATTGGTGACCTATACAGAGAGACACAACCACTTCATGAAGTGGAAGGACTGTGAGATCTGGGGTTTGTGTCATGAACTTAATTAAGTTCTGTTGTTTTTTGTAAAGGTCAGTGTATTTTACAAAGTACAGTGATTAATATTTCAGCTGAAAGAAGATCAATTGTGCACCTGCAATGTATTTGTGGGAGTGATGAATTTTATTAAAATGAGATCTCTGATATCTAATTGACAGTGTACTATGATCTACTGGTTGAAAATATATGGCAGTATGTAATTATAGACAGACGTTACATGAAGAGTGTTGTACTGCTGTGCAAATAGAGATGTTGAAAAAAATGGATCAAACCCAAAAGAAGAACAAAGTGAAACAGACTAGGAGCAATCCATGTAAACATGTCTTAAAATAGCCTTGTTATTAAAATGTCACAAACATCAGGACATTCCCACGAGGGAGGTTAGGACAAGGACAGCTGCACAGACTAAATAAATATATAATATGCTAACTTCTCAATCACTGGGATACATGATACTCAAACAAAGACGTTAAACACACTAGGGGAACTCGCTAAGAATAATAGTGCCGTTTATTTTCAAATGCTGTCTGGGTTGTTTTAGTGCCTGATTCGCTAAAGAAATTATTGTGTGTGTGTGGATGTATGGATGATTTGGCTTGATTATTTCATTATCCTTTGAAGAATAATTGCTGCCATTGATCAATATAGAATGTACACAGACATGTCTTAATTTTTTTTTTTTCAGTGGTGAAGACAGGCCAATAGAATTTGAGGTTTGGATCACATGTCTAGAGCTGCTGCAGATGCTAATCTATAGAACATAAAACATCTAAAAACGTACTTTTTTTTTTTTTCAAGGTCTGCGCTAGCGAGTCAAAGCCCATCATTTCAATTTTCAAACCTGGCTAATGGTGACCTGTCAGCAGAAAGTTTACAAGATCTTTTATGATGACTTTATTTTTTGAACAAGGCACTTAACCTCAGACCGCTGTTGGTGTCTTCACACAGTGTACACTTTAAGTGGCTTTGAAGTGTCAGTTAAATAAAGTAAAGTAACATATAATGTACTGCACTTCCAGTGAGCTGAAGGAAGGACTTCAGAACTCGGTCGCTTGTATAATCTTGCGTGCAAGCCTCATATGATGTTCCAGGAATCCTTTGTGCTGATACTAATCACTTTAGTTCACATGTTGACATGTTGACATCCTTCATAGCTGCCATGAGGAGATATAAGTTATTGCACACTGTATTTTCTTGAATGTTCCTTGAATACAATGATGGCAAAAATATATAGAAAATTAAAAAAATTTTTTTTATTAATTTATTAAGTTCTTCTAGCTTTAACATCACAGCTCTGGTTAGTGTCTTGAAGTGTTTGGACTGTGCATTTTATTGTGGTGAATTCAGAGTTCGCCATTTCCTATCTTAATATACTCATTAAGCTCCTTTTATACTTTAGATGAATTAGAGCTGAAAAGTTTTCAGATTTGGATAACCAGACTGTTGTTAACAAGCAGAATTACAGTTCTCTTCATAGTAATCTGCTAGCGAGCAATAAATGAAATCAGCCTTTAAAAACAATTTCTCATTTCTTGTTTGTAAGGTTCAAATTCCTGTTCCTACTGACAAAAGTTTCTCTGTTGCTTCGTTTCAAGAACTCCCACTCAGTGAACATTGACTGCCCGGACGTCTCACGGAGAAGAATTTAGCATTTGATAGCAACTTCCCAAAGACAAATACAGTACCCACATTCCTATATTAGTGAACAAACAGCTTATTTTGCATTCTCTTGGAGTTTTTGTGTTTTGCCCAGGAGGAACCGATGAGGCGAAACGTGTTGATGTGGACATGTCTCGTGTTCTTTGTCCTGTGGGGATACATTTGTTTTGTCTGACCCATGGCCTCATTCACAAGTAATTGGTCTCTAGATTATTTATTGTCATGCTGCAGTACATCTGGCAAGTCTGTCTGTCACACGAGGCTTTTTTGTGTGTGCAGAGATGTTCAAGTAGCATATTAAACAACTTTCATCTATACTTTATTTTCTGGACACAGTTGTAAACTCAAGATCTCTGCAAAGGTCATCTCTCGGTCTTTGTAATTTATCTATATAAAAAAAAAAAAAATGTATGTAGACATTCAGCTAAAGTGATATCTCCTCAAATGATCAGTTGAACTTCTTCATCTGTCTTTGTTTCTCTTTTTCTTTTACATTTCTTGCATCTGTATGGTTGTTGTTGTTGTTTTTTTTTTTTTACTTTTTTGCTAGTTGCTGGAATAAGACACAGCAGCACTATAAAGGTGCAGTCACATATACTGTTGCTTGGTGAAATCCAGTAATTTCAATAGGAATCTGCACACTCGGGAGTTTCGTGTGAGGACGGAAAAGGTCCCATGCAGACTTTGCTCATGTTCAAATTCGCCACATTACTTGTTTGGCTGTTTGGTTTGAAAGTGACTTTCGTGTGAGTGGTGCTTAATGCATTGCTACACTATTGACAATGGACCTTTGTCCTGTGAAATTTCGCTAAAGTGACCAGACCACATCGTAAATGTATCCTAAAATGGTCCACGTGACTTGTGTTATATTTTAAGTCCTCTAAAACTGTATGATAGCTTTGTGGGATAAATGAAATGAAATTGAATTCATTATTTACACAAAATCTTTACCACTAATGGGCTGTTAAAGTGTGGTCACATTAGCAACATTTGTGGGCAAAAAAAGGTCCTTTGCGGCAAATTTGTGTGACCAGTTTGAACGCAAGCAAAATCTGCATGGGGAACTTTTTCTCCTTTATGTGAAACAAAATTCTGCAGAAAATGGTAAATGTGACCTAACCTTTAACTGCTGTGACTGAATCAATCAGTAAGAACCAGATTAGTCCAATGTGCAAACAATCATTTTTTAATTTCTGCAGGTTCGGTCCTTCATAAGTTTCTGATCTGATGATCTGATCAAAAGAACAATTTCTTAATGAAAGAATGCTGAGGTGGTCAAAATCTTCATAGCAAAATGATAAATTTAGAGTAAATTGTTTCATTATTCAGTCACCCATTTGGCTACACTCGTCAGGCTGGTCTATCTGTAACAATATCAAACCAGTAACAGACCACCATTACTCATCTAAAATGAGTTGATTAAAGATGGTTTAAAGTAGCCTATTTTTTTTTTCAGCAGAGTAAATTTAATTTTCCTTGAGCAAACATTTTTCAAAATGATTTAAGATTGCAGTTAATTGCAGTGACCTGACCTGTTGTGTTTGCAAACATATACATGTAGAAATCAGAAGTGGATCCCTCATCAGCGTGCAGCTCTGTTGCAATATCAGTTCCAGTGCAACATCCTGTCATTATGCCTTTGTGTCTCATAGATGTATAGAGGAGATATATATATTGAGGTTACGTGGTCACTGCTATTCAGATTGTTGAAGAGATAACTGATACTGCATTCATGAGCGTAACACACAGGCCAGGTCTGCTGTCTCGCTTTAAAAGCCTCTATTTTTTGTGTGTTTCGAACTGGTAAATAAAAGAAAGATGAATAAATTTGAGATGTTGTCATGCAGGGAAACATTCCTATTACTTGCTCCGCAGGTATCCATGGCAACCCTAATTCTGCAGGTACCGACCATTCGTGGCTGGTAATTGCTTCAAACGGATGCATACTTTTACCAAATTAACCTTTATCAAAACCTTGAGACGTATTAATCTTCTGTTTTGTCTCCATTAGTGTGACTCTGCAAAGTCATTCTGATTTATGGAGGTGTCAGGCGGGTGGCTCCAGACATCATCTCACGAAACGGGCCCCTGAATGTCATCATTTCATCCTCCCAGTTCCAGAACAAATGCCCCTCTGTGACAGCTCCTGAGCTATTGATGTGAGATCACTTTAGAATCCCTTGACGTGGCGCCCGTTTTGTTTTATTTTTGGGACATTTGTTCCTCTTTGTGTCAAGCTAAAAATATTTCTCCATCATTGAAAATTAAACCACTGAGATGCGCTTTATCAAAGAGATTGAGCTGGGCTAGAGTGATCTGTCTTACCGTAACCCGTGTTTTGTTTTGTGTTACTCGTGTTCTGTTGTTTTGTGCTGATGGGTGCCATCAGAATGAGAGTCCAAATAGCTGACATCATAATAATCAAGGAATTCAATCCATTAATTAACATCTTGTGAAGTTCTGGCAAAAATACAGTCCATAAAATAACACTTCCTCCAGTAAAGAAGTCTGAAAAAGATTGACACAAGATGACTTCTTCATTGGAATCAGCAATATTATAGATTGACAACTTTTTAGACAGAAGCAATGATATGAAGTTAAAAATGTATTTTTTTATTTTTGGGTGAACTCTAAGTTTAAAGGAATACTGTAGTTCGGCCAAAAATGACAATTCTGGCATTTTTGATGTTGCAAATCCATTTTGATTCTTCAGTAGGCTGAAACACAAAAAATGTTTTGATAATGTGATTTTTTTTTCGTGCAGTTGCAATACATGGAAATTAGAGCCCTCAAACTTCTAAAAGATCAAACAATTTATTGAAAAGATCCAACAATCGTAAATTTGTCAGTGAATGACTTACATTTTGGTCTGTTTGTCACACAAAGCTATTATATGACTAATTTTTTGATAGTTTTATGGTACTTTTATGGTCCTGACACCTTGTTGCTTGACAGCCCCAGTCTTCATTCACTTTCATTATATTGATAAGAGTGACTTGGATAATCTTCAAAAAATGTACTGCTTGTGGTTCATGGAGAAAGTCATACGGTTTTGAAAGGACATTTGGGTAAGTGATTTTCATTTTGGGGTGTACAATTCCTTTAAGCTTTGTAAATAATTAAAGACATGTTTTCCAAATGCTTTCATACAAAAATCATTTTTTCAGTGTGGGTTTTCCCACACAGTCTGCATGACATACAGAATAACTGTCTTTTTCTTCAATTTCATTTTTTTTATGTCATTTATATTTTCTTTCTGTGCGGCTCCGCTGATGGCAAACTATTAAATTGTCACTGATGTTTGACAATCATTTTTAAAAAACAGAAAAAGAAATTAACGCGTTTCAGTATATGAATGTTAAAATGTTCTTCATAATTGAGGTTGAATTAGAAATGGTGAATAGTCCTGTAATATAGACGGGGTTCAAAAGCCTAAGATCACTAGTAAAAAACTATCACTCTGTAACTTATTCCCCTTCAAAATGACATTATTAGCATAACAATTTAATAGGAAAATCAACATGAATTGTAAACCTGGTCATCTGCTCACAATATCCTGTTCCTATTCACTCCTTTGTTCCTATCCTTATATCTCTTCATTTTCCTATTCACTGTCAAGGCCAGACCAGTAGACTTCAGTATCAATCCCAATTTAACCCACCCATCTGTAATTTGCAAGTCATTCCAAACACCTTTATGAGCTTGTTCAGGTATATTTAGTTAGATTTCAAGCTAAGCTCAGCAGGATAAGCAAGAGCCCTGCCCTATACAGTTACAAGTATTCACTTAGAATACATTGACTTTTTTATATTAGTCTGAATATGAATCATGCATGAATACATTTCCATTTTTGTCCTGACAGTTCCATAGAGCAACTTGTGCTTTAATGAAAGCAAGAAAATCTTAACTTTTATACAAAGTTCACATGCTTAATGTCACATATGATTAGTTGTAAATAATGCAGAACATTTCTTTTTCTTCAAAATGACTCATTTAACATCATAATGTTTCTTAGTTTTATTTATTTTCAAGTTTTTCAATGTGGACTCATTTGGACCACACGGTAGATGGATTTTCCCATGTGTTTTCCCAACTAACAGTAGTCTTTGAACATATAATTTAGTAATACATTTATGTAAATACACATTCTGTTTTGCAGACTAAGTTGGAAAGCTTTTGCAAATGCACATGAGATTGTATTTGTGCTGAGGATTAATTGTGGAAAGTGTCCGTTTCCTGACTGGTCAAACAGCTGGGTCAGCTTTCTCTGCTCCATCCTGACATTAGATGTCAATGACATTGGCAATCATTTCAGAAAGCATTTCCTCTAACCACCAGTGCTGGAAGTGTGTGCAGCACGGAGGCTCTGAATCCTCAGATTATCTGTATGTACAAGCTGTATGCAGAGAAAGTTTCAGCTGCCAATTTTGCTGTATCAAAACACCATTTTGTCAGCTTCTGATGTGCAATTACTTCTTTCTGGGCACATAACCTTCTCTCCATCTCTCTCCCTCTCCCTCTCTGTCTCTGTCTCTCTCTCTCTCTCTCTCTCTCTCTCTCTCTCTCTCTCTCTCTCTCTGTCTCTCATTTCATTTTCTCCCTAATACTCTCAGATATGCGCTGGCCTTTACACCACTCAAAAAAAAAAAATCCCCTCTGCAGCTGCTGTTTTATGTAAATTGCAATATTCTATGGTTGATTAGACAATTGAAAAGGAACAACTGTACATTGATCTTAATTCTCAAGACATTTGTTAATGAAAAAGCCATTAAGGTGTTTGATATGTGAAGAAATATTGTACCATCAGTCGGTCATTATTGCAACATAAACCCCCGATAGAGTGATCTGGACTTGTCGCGCTCTCAAGGGGTTTATTTTGCAATAATGTCAGGCTGACAGTACATTTATCTTGCTTATTGCATGACCACTCACTGAATAAATGGATGAATGGATGAATAACTGAATAAATACAGCGGAATGAAATACTGATCCAAGTTGAAATTCCACTATTGTTAAAAAGTTTGAAGTCAGTAAGAGTGTTTTTTTTTTTTAATTACATTAAAGGGATAGCTCACCCCAAAATGAAAATTCTGTCATTAATTACTCACCCTCATGTCGTTCCAAATGAGGGTGAGTAATTAATGACAGAATTTTCGGTAACACTTTATTTCGATAGTCCACTTTAGACATTCTATTAACCGTAAGTAACTTTGCAACTACATGTCAACTAGCAGTTAGTAGAGTATTAGTAGACTGTCTGCTTAATTTTTGGGTGAACTAACCCTTTAATGCTATTATTCAACAATGATATAATCACATTATTTGTGCACATGTGAAGTCAGAGTAAGGACTTATTCGCAGTAAGGTGTTTACATGACACAAGCAAACCTCTTCACTCCTGTTTACATGCAATTTTTCATTATTCTGATTATTTGCTAAAAATTGTAGTTATTTTTACTGAACCTCAATGCACTGCATAAATTGTTGTAATACAGTTTCACAATATTGCTGTTTTTACTGTATTTTTGCTGCAATTAAATGCAGCATTGGTAAGCATAAGAGACTCATTTCAAAAACATTAATAAAAATCTTATATAAAATCTTATTTCTTAGTTTTATTTATTTTCAAGTTTTTCAATGTGGACTCATTTGGACCACATGGTAGATTTCACCATGTGTTTTCCCAACTAACAGTAGTCTTTCAACATATAATTTAGCAATAAATTTATGTAAATACACATTCTGTTTTGCAGACTAATTTGGAAAGCTTTTGCAAATGAAAAATAGTTCATTACAGTGTACAAAACAGTTGTCCTAGCTGCAGTATTTTACAAAAACTGCAGCAATATTACAGTAATATTAATACAGAGATAACTGATATGCAAGCGGAATGAATGAATGAATGAATGCAAGAAGACTGCAGTTGTGCTTGTGTGAAACGAGAGAGCAAGTACACAGGGTGATATGTGAGACATGAAAGTAGTGTCAGTTTCAGTTACCCGGATGAGTGATCTCATATATAGCTTTGCCCTGTAAAGTGACTGATATTAGGAAATATTACTACTCGATTATGTGATTGACCAATCAGAATCGTACCAGGCATCGTACCTCATGCCCACCTCTCTGTCCCCTGTGTGAAATGTCTACAGCTTGATCTCAATTAATGTGTTGATCTGATTTTCTTCATCAGTAATGCCTCTAGGATGATCATCATTTAGGACACATTTTCACAAGCGCCTTGAGCCCATTACAGGCACTTTATCACTATTAGGAGCCTCTTTAAGTAATTACAATCAAATCTCGACCTCTGATCATTAACAACAACATCACATTATGTCTGTTTGTCCCAGATGTGCTATTATTATGAGAGGCCTGCTTTCATTTGCCTGAGTCTCCCCCCCGTTTGGTTTTGACCCCAGAGCTGTTTGTTAAGCAAGAGGAGTCGAGAGGGTATTTAATTTGCTGAAATGACTGGCTAATCGTGTTTAATGAGCTGTGTTTTGGCATGATGATGTATTCTGGAACTTGTCTGAGGAGAGAGGTGACGTGACACCACCCATCCACAATCGGAGAGTGCATGTGTGTGTGTGTGTGTAAGTATGTGTGTGTGTACACGTTTGATCTTGTCATTTTTAATAGAGGCTGACTTGCAGAGCTCCCAGAATGCTCTTGGAGCTCATCTCAGTAGCTGCTGGAGAAGTGGGACTTGCCTCACATCACAAACTTAACATCTCAGTACTAAAGGGAAAGCTTTTAATGCGTGTCTGAGATGCCAGTCATGAACCCGAGCCACTGGGTATGTTCAATATGAGAGTCACTGTGGTGTCATTGGACCAGAAAATGGCATCTCAGCACTGCACAATGAGCTCGGCAAGCTTCTGAAGGACTCACAGAGGTTGGGTCGCATTAATCCTAAGGATTTTCATATGAACCTGAAATATGACACAGTGGCTTTCATTGTTTTTGCTTTTTGTGTAGTGGTTATGATTCTAGTTTTGAAATTCGAGTTTTAGATTTTTGTCATTTGATTAATAGGCTGGATGGATGGCGTTATAGATTACATTTTCTCATTTTTCTGGATTAGTCATAAAACAAGCGGTGCTGGTATGGACAGGTTTATGAATGAGTTTAGCTCTCATCATTTCTGAGTGATATGATTTGTGTGTGATCCCACTGATGGTCCTTAACAACCAGTGCTGTTATTGTTCAAACTGAAACTGTTAAAAAACATTTTGTTAATTGAAATAAAGCTGAAATAAAATATAAATATTGGATGA